CCGGCCGTTTCGGCTGTGCGTTGATGAGTCAGTTTGTCAGTGTATCCTTTTCTCTCTTTGTTTATAAGTATCGATTAATAAAGAAGTTATAATAATTGTATTTATAGGTTTTACGATTTTAAGGTGTCTTTGTCAGTTGATGAATCCTACAGTTCTAAGTATTTTTACCATTTTGAGGAGTGTAAAACGAATCCTATTCCTTTTTCTACCCTTGTAGATTTTATTATTAAAAAAAAAACTTCTTGACAGATTATAAATTAGAAAAAGTTAATTAAACTTTATATTCATGTTCTTTACCACGAAACTAAGATTTGTTCTAAAGAAAATTTTACTAAAAAAAAATCCACGCGATCCAGGCACCCGTCCGGAATGCGGAAGGATTTTTTTCTGGTAACATTTTCTTTAGATTTATAAATCATTCTTAAAATTTTAAATATCAATAAGTTAAGATGTTTGCTGTTTCATAGAGTATAAACCTTTTGACGTAGTAACTAACTTCTTTAACTAATTAATTAATGTAAGTAATTTTCTGACTTTAACCACACGGCGCACAGTGGGCCGTTTGCGGTCACGTTGAACATAGTTATGTTTTAGTGGTCAACCTTATCAAGTCAACTATAATGTTTACTCGGTGACATGTGTGTAAATTTTTTAAAATTATTATTCGTAATATGTAAATGTAATAAATATAAGTATTTCTAACACTCACACCAATTTGTCTTGCCCCCAAATTAAGCACTGTAAGGCTTGTTTCGGGATACCAGAATACACATACAGAAACAATTATATAAGTATATTTCTATCTACGAATATAAACATTCATGATTTAGGTACAATTGCTCGTATGTATCCTAGAAACATTTGCCCCTCCGGAATTCGGACCCAGGACTGAGTTGATGGACCTCTGAGTAGGCAACGCCTTGAAACCAGGCGTACATACTACTCGAGACACGGAATTCGTTGTCTTTTTATTCATTGTTTTTAGCGAAATGAGTTGATTTAAGATAATTCCGAAGAAGCGGATTTTCGTTTGTATTGGATCGTCTGTCTGAAAAAGATCTACTGCCTTAATACTACTAAATTGATAATGTAATCGTTGATTTTAAAATGTCTATTGAACCTCGCTTCAAGGTTTTCACAAATTATGGTTTCATTTTATTATAATAAAATCCCATATTGACGACCTTAAAAGCATCCTAAAATTGAGGTTTTGATATTATTCTTGTTCTGAATTAATTTGTTACGTTGCACAGCTGTTGGAACCCATGTTATGAATTATTCTGGATGCTTTGTTGGGTAAAATCCGGGTGTATTTTCAAGACTAAAATTAATGTTTATTTATTTATCATGAACAAGGTTAAACTGTGAAACATAATCTTATTGCTTTTAATATACTATTCAGCTATAAAAAAAAGTTCTTTTTAACCTTTTTAAGTACAATAATAAATGGCAGAACATAAAAGGAACAACATGAGAAAAATATTTTCATATCTAAAAAAACAGAGAAATATTTTTATTTTATTTATTTATTTTTACTATACATAATAATATTACATATAACCCGTGTTGGTTTTACCGAGCACTGGGATTATTCATCTTTTAGATCACCTTATTTTTATAATAATCTTGTGCAAACGTACACTTTGAATTTGCATCTACCCTCTTTCTACGAGTTGTCGGCGGTCATCACTTACATTAATAGAATAAAAGCCTCAATTACAACAACTCATTTGGAATTGATTGTGTTTAACTTATTTATGATTAACATTAGTGATGAGTTTTATTCAATTATAACAGTTTCGAAAATTACATTCTCCTTTGAATAATGAATGTTCCCAATTCTTAAAAGTACCTAGTTATAATCCATAAATAAAATATTACAGGTGACACATTTATCAAGACAACATGTCTTGTTTGTGAAGGAAACTTAAACCAGGTTACTCAATTTCGCACCATAAAAAATAACCATACCTGTGTACCTACAATATCAATCTTCCCGTTTATTATGATCATACTCAAAATCATTTATTCAGTTTAGGCTGTTACAAGCACTCATGAATGTCTATAAGCTACGCCATCCGTTCGTAAATCTACGGCGGGAGATCTTGTACTGAGAAAAACCGGCAAGAAACTTAGCAATGGCTGTTTTTTTTCTCCCTGTTTTATTATTTTCAGAATCGTCCAGTTGAAAAATGACTTTAGAGATGATTCATGAAATCACCTTTCATTACATAATGTGAAATTGTTGTTGCTGTGTCATACAAATAGTGTTATTTATATAAGGTGTAACTAGTCATTTACATCTTAAATATCAAAGGAGTTAGGGCAGACTCATATCCGCTGGCAGCACTCATTCACGAGTATGACGCATGAACCAGCCATCGCATCGCTTCGCTCAACCATATTTTAGGGAACGTAACGACCCGCCTCAGACGACACCACCGAAAAGACTTTTAAGAGTTTCAACATATTTACTTAAAATTAAAGTAATTTATCTGTAGGACATTGCAAACAATTACAAAGCAAAAACAATGGAGAAATCATGACCACGACGTTTTGTCATTCAAATGTTTTTAAATAGTCTGATATTCTTCCTTAAGTAATCAACTTTATCTTATATCAATGTGTTTATCTTATATCAATAAAAATTTAACAAAACTATCACTCGGGTGAGCTCGCGTAATGATAACAAACAATTTTGAATTACAGTCTAGTGAAACCGAATTTACCGAATACAATTAATTTGGTGCATTGTTGCCCCTCTGTGCAAGCGTTGTGACGAGGATGCATAGTGGACAAATAATAACGTGTCTGGCCGCTTTGTCGTGTTCAAACTAATGAGAGTTTGCACGCACTCAATTTATTTTGTCCCCGCGCTGGTAGACTCGGCCCACTGGGCGTATCAGATCTCGTTCGATAAACAGGCGCGCAAATAAATCAATCATGGATTTATTTAGTCAAATTTAACAGAGTATTGTTGTTGGGTGGATGGATGCATTGACCATTTTAGTATTTCAACTGGCGCTTTATTTGACACGTCGAATTGTCAAAGGTGGTAATTTTGTTAAACTTTAGTATTTTTATTCAAACTTATACAAACAAGAAAAAACTGCGAGTTAATAGAAACACAAGAGACAATTTAAAAAACTTTTACTTAGGACATTCGAAGTGCCAATCTTATTAGTTCCATCCAAGCTTAGAGACTAGCTAGAAGCTATTTGATTTTTTTGATTCAATTAAAAGTCAAAAATTACGCTTCGTTTCGCAAATCTATGACGTGAGACCTTGTACTGAGAAGAATCGACAAGAAACTTGCCAACGGCCAGGTTGTTGTTGTGGTGGTAGTCTGTTCTCTACATTAGTCACTAAGTGACTAGCTTATCTAAGCTAAATCCTTTGTAGTGTGGGTTAGATCTTACGAACACCCTCCTTTCTTAATAAACAACATAATTAAAAAATTGACGACCAACATGATTATAAACTTACGTTTCTTGTTTGTCAGCTAAGTTTAAGGGAAGGGGTTTAAACGAATTTTAAGTAAACATTATTTCGGTTTGTAAATACCCACATTATATGACTGTTATTGCGAACATATGTGTGGGGGTGAATAGACGGAACAAATTAGTTTCATTGATGAAAATTAATGAAGAGTTACTTAAAATAGTTTATTTTCTATGTAAGCTTCGGCTAAATTATTCAACTGAAATAGAATAAAATGGTATCTTATATATAGGTATATCTATATATAAAACGCAAAGGTGACTGACTGACATAGTGATCTATCAACGCACAACCCAAACCACTGGACAGATCGGGTTGAAATTTGGCATGCAGGTAGATGTTACGACGTAGGCATCCGCTAAGAAAGGATTTTGATTAATTCTACCCCAAGGGGATAAAATATGGAATGAAAGTTTTTATGAAACTTTGTCAATTTTAAACCGATCGGACTGAGACTTTGCATGCAGGTATAAGAAGAATCATAGATGAATGTCATTGTGTATAATACAAGCCTGAGAACAGAAACTGTAATCTACACTTCAGCTCTACACCGAAGCGAAGCGAGTGCAGGCCGCTAGTATCTGTATATTTGTAGTTTTGGGCTGAAGAAGCTTTAGAAAATCTTGTTTACACACGCACACATTTCTCGCATTTTATTGCAAACGTTTTCTGATACGATTGTGCCACGATTGCCGCATTAATATGCATGACTCGTTATCCAAATCCCAAGGCATAGCTGTGAAAATATTTATTCTCTTTCTACATAATAACGTTGTGTCGACGCGGCGCTTCTCGTCCGTACGATTCCTGCTGAATTATGATTGCTGATTTTGCGCGTGTTTTGAAAGGACCGCTGCCCGTGACTGTGTATGCTAATGTTGCTTTCAACGGCTACGTTCTAACAGAGAGCTTAATTGTGCCAGCTTATTTTGTTGCTATATCCTTGTACGTAAACATGTTGATTGATAGGGCGTTTGAACGATCTAGAAACTCCTTATGTTTTGAGTTAGTCATTATGATGACGTGGCGATTTATTGGTGTACGAAATCTGTGATGAGGTTTTAGTAAATTACACTTTTTATCATTATTTGTCAAATAATATGTGGATAAATTGAGTGTAAGGTAAGGGATTGAAAATGATAGACGACGAGATAATAAAGGATAAATAAAGAAAAAAAGGAAAAATAGAGTAGGGAACAGGCCTGGCTAATGATGAAACTGATAAAACAATTATGTTTACACTCAAAAAACACTAACACATGGATCTATGTTGTCCGAATAATAAATGATTTGAATTTGAATTTTAAAAAACGCATTAGATTAATTGTGCCCCACTTTAAAAGATATTATATTATATTAAACATTTATGTACAAACTATACGATATAAAAAGACGATAATTATGGGAGTGATCCCATAATAACACAAATAATGGCATAAACAAATCCGTCACAAAATGACGACAACTAAATCTCACTAAATTTCATTTTGTGTCCGCAGTGACGGCGTTGCGAGAGCACTGGGATGAGGCGAACGCGCGGGTACTGCAGCGCAAGGCGCAGCTGGACGCGATGCTCGGCGACTCGCAGCGATACGAGGCTAGGCGGCGCGATGCAGACGCGTGGCTGGCCCGCATGGAGGCGCGGCTTGCGAACATGGCCCCGCCCGGGCACACGGCTGACGTGCTTGAGATGCAGCTTAGAGAACAAAAGGTAATTTTCCACATCATCATCATCAGCTTATTAATGTCCCCACTGCTGGGGCACAGGCCTTCCCTTTGGATGGAATAGGGAGATTGGGTCCTGACGCACCACGCGGGCCCACTGCGGATTGGTGGGTGCTAACGACTGCATTTGCAGCCGGGACCAACGGCTTAACGTGCCTTCCGAAGCACGGAGGATCTCGAGATAGTAAATTTTTGGTCACCCATCCAATGACCGACCACTGCGAAAGTTGCTTAACTTCAACGATCGCAGCCGAAAGCGCTAACCACTTGCGCCATCGAGCTCCTCCACACATTCTAGTCATAGAATGCATATCAAGTAGTGGCATCAACTTTATTTCGCACAACATCATAATTTGACATTTACTTATTTATAAGAGAATAAAAGCTTATGATTTTGTAAGCCAGAAAAAAATTAATATATTAGGTTGGGGAAAAAGATTCTTCGCATTTTATATGAAAATTCAAAACATTATTTATAAAGTTTATTTACATTTAACTAAATTATGTAGGTGCCATTTTGTTCGATAACTTTTTGCCATCTTATAGATAGGAACATGATACCATTGCTATAAAAAATTTAGGGTTTCTAATAAAAAAAGCCGCGGCAGTGTGGTTTTGTCAGTCCTCTCATGATGTGAACCTGACACCGCCTTAAGAATTCTGTTACCTAGGACTATTCTGTGCAAGTGGTTAGCGCGTTCGGCGGCAATCGCTATCGCGGTCATTAGATTGGTGACCAAAAATCTTCTATCTCGAGTTTCTTCGTGTTTCGGAAGCCACTTTAAGCCGTTGGTGCCAGCGGCATCTGCAGTCGTAAGCACAATAGCCCAATCTCCCTATTCCATCCGCAGGGAAGACCTGTGCTCCAGCATTGGGGACATTAATACGCTGATGATGATAATGATGATGGTTTCTCCAAAAGAACTCCAAAAATATCATAATTATACCATGTTAGTTGTTCAGACCTAATCTTCAGCAATAATCTTTGATGTATTTTCGATTGAAACGCTATCAGCTAAAGTTTCGAGAGTTCTCAAGATATTCGCCTTTAGCTGTCACTAATTGATTTTCAACTACTTGAAGGTAGTTAGGTATTACTTCCATAATTTATGGATGTATTACGGTGTCAGCATTAGTTACAATGTTATTAAATATTCCCCGAACACACTGTTTGAGTACCTCTACAGTTTGATAAATTAGTCGTCTCCATTATTGAGTAAACAACAATTTGATGGCTCAAATAAATTTGGCTAATCGATAGTTAGATTCAAGAACTACTACTACACAAGGCATAATGCGAAACACAGCACCTTCGTTGTTTTCTATAATGCCGTTATTTCGGCACATTTCGGCAAATACAAGGTACAAATCATCATTCACTCATTGGCTCACAATCACAAAGATCTCGACACTCAGCGGCTCTAAGCTGACAGCATTTATTTATTTATGAAAAGGCTTACCAACAATTGTAACACTTCAGCAATTACAATTATAGACACGGAGACACTTATATCAATGTTACAATTAATTATAGGTAAACACCACATTTACCATATCTATATCAAACAGTTTGTGTTAAAATTTTACCTAATATACCCTAACTTAAATGCTATTTTTTCCAAAAAAGGGACATTACAAAAATAAATGATCTCAAACTAAAAATAAACTTCTCGGGCACTCAGTCCGTCAAGTTCCTACTAATGGCTGAAGTTATTGCACTGGGACTATCAAAGTGTAAATCAATTTTATCACTTCTATCACTTTCAGCATTCCGCGACTTCCTATGACTTTCATCAGGTTGTCAATCTATCTGGTGACAGGCCTACTCCATGATAAAAACAATTCTGCCCTTCAACTATCAATTTCTCGCAGGAAAATAGCGAACAAAGCTCTCTCTACTGCTGTCCCATCAGAACCACATAAAAATGACCACGTTTCTCTAGGTATGGTTGGAAATCGGGGAATTTAACTTAAAACAGAACACAAAAACCGCAATTATTAACTGCCCTCATCTTGAATCCAGTAACATCAATGCAGAAGACCGCAGCTGTTGCACATTCAAAACAAATCTTATTCGAGTCAGTTATGGTGCAAATTTGAAGGTTAGATACTTCAAAACTTAAACATCAAAGTTAGATGGTGTGCGTCATACCAACTGAATAAAATAAAAAAATAAATATTGACGATCATCACAAACATTGCTTTGATTACAAAGAATTTGAAGTAGCCACTTGTTTTACGACAATCAAGGATAACGTAAAGAACAAAGTAAGGTAACTTGGTTAAAGCAATTGCTCACAAGAAACTTTTTCAACGATAAGAACAATTTATTTCAGTGATGTATGTATGTTGTAAAAACTTACGTTAAAGCAATACACTCTTGGTTAAATTACATAATCATGTATTCGCTATGAATTTTCCGAAAAAAATAATAAGCTAAAGTCGATATTATATTATTTTTAGACTAGATTATTTTGTTCTACAGAGTTAGTTTTGGACTTGCAAATTCAAAGCTCGACAAATAATACAATAAACTTGCATTGACTTCCAAAACTTTTTCCTTTCATTGGTAAAAACTGTAAAAAAATTGTTCCCTGTCTTAATTACATACAGAGTCAAACTGAATATAGACAATAATTGAAACTGTCCTGCCAGGACCTTGAATCTGGGAACTATGATATGTTATGACGACGCTATAAAACTGGTGAACGATCCACAAGACCACGGAGATAGATCGACTCAAAATAAATCTATATATATAAAACTCAAAGGTGACTGACTGACATAGTGATCTATCAACGCACAGCCCAAACCACTGGACGGATCGCGCTGAAATTTTTCATGCAGGTAGATGTTATGACGTAGGCATCCGCTAAGAAAGGATTTTGATCAATTCTATCCCCAAGAGGATAAAATAGAAAATGAAAGTTTGTATGAAACTTTGTCAATTTTAAACCGATCGGGCTGAGACTTTACATGCAGGTATAAGAAGAATCATAAATGAATGTCATTGTGTATAATACAAGCCTGACAACAAAAACTGTAGTCTACACTACAGCTCTACACCGAAGCGAAGCGAGGGCGGGCCGCTAGTTTAACCATAAAGATTAATTGAATCTCCATCTAATGAAAAGCGCATATTTTAATATTTATATTCCTCCTGTAACCACAAAATCTGATAAGGGTGAGTAGAGCCTACAATTATTTGTGTAAAAATTATTAATATACGTGCTAAGAAACCTAAACAAATTAAATGAATATTTAAGGATCAAACGAACTTACCTGAAGTGAAGTTCGATCCAAATTATATGAGCAGCTTCATTCGACGCGATGTATGCTGCAAGGGTGACGCTTGGGGGCGCCACTACAACATGTAAGCATAAATCAAGCAATGAAGCTGCGAAATATAACATCAATGTTTGGTAAAGATTTCCAAACTACTAAGTATAAAATAAGTTACAAAGTGTTAACATCCGCAAGCTCAAAAATATTAAGTTATTTGCCACTCAAATTTGTCGAAGGACTACGTTGCCCTCTACATAGAATGGCTGAAACTTACAATACTTTGTTTGCAGAAGTGGATATATTTTCAAAAACAAAATATAATTTTGGGTATGATGTTATTAAAATATTGCATAAAGAGACAAAGCATCTATATTTAAATGTATTAAACTCGTTTAGGGTAGTTATTATTTTTATTTTTGATGTAGTGATAAATTATATATAAAACTAGCTGTCCCAGCGAACTTCGTACCGCCATAAAAAATAGGGGTTGATTGTAAAGTGTTGAAAATTCAGGGTTATATGTATTTACTAACGTGGTATCATAAAAAAAAATAAAAAAAAATTTAGGGCTTCATTATAGGATTACCCTTAACATTTAGGGGGATGAAAAATAGATTACATCTGATTCTCAGACCTACCGAATATGCATATAAAATTTCACGAAAATCGGTCGAGCCGTTTCGGAGGAGTTTAACCACAAACACCGCGACACGAGAATTTTATATATTAGATATTACCGATTTGTTTATGAAAAATGTTTAATTACTTTGTGTTTGTTAATGTTATAGTTAAGCATAAGGATTTTAACAGTGTTAAGTTTACTCACACTGAATGTAACATCAGTAAGGCACTATTTTTATTTAATAATTTGTGGATAATATTGTGGGTTACAATATTACCTTAGATTTTACGGTACCATGGTACCACATATAATAGCCGTCTTTAGTCATAAAACACATATTGTAACCGTTGTTTATCCCTTAATAAATTCAAAAATTCAATATCGTTTATTCAGTCTAGGCTGTTACAAGCACTTGTGAATGTCGAAAAGCTACGCCATCGGTTCGCAAATCTACGGCGGGAGACCTTGTACTGAGAAGAGCAGGCAAGAAACTCAGCAAGGGCTGTTTTATAAATAAAATATGTGTTCCTTACTATTCTTATTCTACGTTGCATGAATCGCAATCTTATGAAATGCTATCACGTACGATATGATATACAGTGTACGGCTTCAGATTAGGGGAAGATATCCAATTGGCCCACATCTCTTTAGCGAAACTTGTGCAAGTTAGTTAGTTAGTGCCCCGAGAACTCCCATAAATCCTACATAATTGGAAACACTAGGGGTTGGATCTGACAAACTCTAAATTAACTAAATTCACACACACACACTTTGTCAGTTAACGACAAATAAAGTTTTAAAACAACGAAATATGTATGAAACAATTAAAAAAGGTCTTATCACATTCATTTAATATAATGTAAAATGCGTATGAGAAGATTCAACCCGACATCGTTTTGAAAGTAATAGAATTATGAATAATTTGGGTGGAAAATTTTTGACGGGACACAAAAGGTATACCAGGTAAAAAGGAATTTTAATTTTAAAATAACCCTCGCGGTGAAAAAACCCTCATTCTGTAATATGACACACGCACTGTGGGTCTCTCACTTATATTGTAATAGTATTCGTAATCTTACCGTGTGGAATCTCTTATCTATTAGACAAGTCCGTCCGTCCGTCTGTGGTGCTGTTTCAGCGGCCAAACCGTAAGAGATAGATAAAGAGAATATTTAAGTTATAAGTTAAGAATAGTCTGATAAGACTACAAACCAGATTTGAGTAACGTAGCATTTTCGGTTTTCGAGAAATCACGAATTTCAAACGAAACCACACAAAATCTCCGAAGTTCTCAATTAATTAAATACACTTTTTTTTTTAAATCAGGTTTTCGTGAACATTTGGTTCACTGGTTTGCTAGTTTTGATTATCTGTTTTGATTTATCGTACTTGCACTGTACTTTAGCATGTTCTTTCTGATGACCTCCGTGGCCGAGTGGTTTGTACGCCGGGTTTCATGGTGTCGCCGACTCGATACGTCCCGGGTTCGAATCCCGGTGGGGGCAGATGTTTGTGTGATGAATACGAGCATTTGTACTGGAGTCATGGATGTTTAATATGTATTTCTATATAAATACTAGCTGACTCGGTGAACTTCGTACCGCCCAAAAGTAATAATTTGCAATAAATTAAAATTGCGACTATAATTTGAGATTTAAACTATCCTATCTCTCAATTTGGATCGAACTGCACATGGTGTGCGAATTTTATTATAATCAGTTCAGTGGTTTAGGAGTCCATTGAGGACAAACATTGTGACACGAGATTTATATATATTAAGATACTTATATAATATATACAGTATATGTATTCTATCCGTTACCCTAGTATCCCATAACACAAGCTTTATAGTGCTTACTTTGGGGCTAAGCTAATTGGTGTGAGCGTTGGAAACATTTATTTATTATTCTGATGCCTCTTGTGCTGGACTGGGAGTAAGTGCAAATCTCTAAAATGCGAAAATACTTTTTTTCATATAAAAGGAGTGCCAAAGAAGCATATGTCCTGCCTGATGGTAACCGGCCACTATAGCCTTTAAACGCCTTTGATACCTAAAATATTACTGGCACTGTTACCTACCCTGGAAAGCTTTACAAAAGATACTAAATATTTGTCATGTTATCGCGTTATCCGAGCGAATACACTACGATGTCTTCCTTGACCTTATTTCCTGTTACGTGGAATTCTGGCGACGTAGTTTACTTCAGTAATAATTTAAGGCGGTGGTTACTCTTCATGACGGGAGATTCCAAGAAAGTTTAAGAAGCATTTAGCAATATATAGTATATAAGCTGACCCAGCGAACTTCGTCATAAAAGTAGGGGTTGGCAGTAGAAGGAATATTTAGGATTGCATGTATTTTTAATGCCACATTATAAAAAATAAAAAAAAATGTCCAATTATAAAAATTAAATGTTAAAGGTGGACAATCCTGATCATTTAGGGGTATGAAAAATAGATAGTAGCCGATTCTCAGACCTATTGAATATGCATACAAAGTTTCATGAAAATCGGTCAAGTCGTTTCTAAGGAGTACCTATGGTAACTAACATTGTGACACGAGAATTTTATATATAAGATATTATTATATTTTATTTTGGATACAAATGATATTAATTATCACATAATATTAGAACGGGGCTAATGTATTAAAAGCTGGTAAAGAGAGCTTAGTATTTTATACCAGAGTGATTAATCTGAAACCATTAATCATACTTTGCATCGATTCTTTTCGATAAAAGAAAGAAAACAATATGACTGTTAAAACACATTAATAATATCTCCGTTAAACCTTTGGCTCTGGTGGTGGATGCCAATGGAAGATACAATTTAACATCGACTCTATTTCGTAGCAGTAACTGCTATATTCGCAAATGAACCACCATTATGAGTGTACATGGCAGTTTATGTTAAAAATGGGCCACGGCGTGGTTCAAACTTAATCTTGTTAGCTAGCTAATAAACTGTATAGGTACCTTATTTAAAATTCTTTTTTGTAATTTTGAGTTTATTTATTTGACCCTAACTACCGTAAACTACCACCGACCGGTCCCAAAATTGGTAGACCTTTCTGAGAAGAACCGGCGAAACAAACTCAGAGAGGCTTTCTATCTCTTTCTTATGTTTGAATCATGCAAACAAAAAGAACTAATAGTGTCTATTGGTCTTGCAGTGTGTGCTCGGGGTTGGGATTTTATTTCTTGTATAATGGGTTCCCAAGCTGGTGGTATATACCACCAACGATCTTCCCTATTGAAATTTGGTTGGTATATACCACCTGCTTGGGAAAGTACTTTATTAACTAAATTAACTAATAAATTCATTCATAGACAATACAATTTCAAAAAATCTTCCAATGAAATAACCGAATGCTCAATAAAAGTCTTTCAAAGGTAGCTCGACAAAATTAAATAAAAAATCATTATTCTGACGATGCAGACCTGAAAAGGCTGCGAAACGTCAATAAATAAATAAAGTTTCATGCATTAACCCGTTAAAACTAGTTTTATTTAATGAGTGATGTGCGTGAAAACCTAAGAAATAAATATGTTTAGGTACCGGTAAAAGGTCTCACAGGAATGGAATTTCTGGCAATGTTTGTATAAAAAGTTCCTTTCTTTGTATGCCCATATCGGCACGACATGCTATGCACCCCTTAAATCATAACATCGTACTTACACGTGTTGTCTCAAATAAATATTTTCTTTCTTTCTTTCGTTCTTTCTTTCTTTCTTTCTTTCTTTCTTTCTTTCTTTCTTTCTTTCTTTCTTTCTATCTTTCTTTCTATCTTTCTTTCTTTCTTTCTTTCTTTCTTTATTTCTTTCTTTCTTTTCGAATTTTGTAGGTTGCCAATTCCAATGTAGTAAAGTATTGCTTTCGCTTTCCTCACTATTCCCCATCTTTTGATCACAGATCAATCTCAATCAATCTCTGATTTGAGAGTAGCTGAGAATGGAAATATTTATTTACAGTCAAGCCTAACTTCCTAGAAGCGCAAATAAAAATAAATACAACGATACCTAATATTATTGAATAGTTTGGCACACACATAGTACCTGGAGCTCGATGGCGCAAGTGGTTAGCGTGTTCGGCTGCGATCGTTGAAGTTAAGCAACTTTGGCAGTGGTCGGTCATTGGATGGGTGACCAAAAATTGTTGACTATCTCAAGCTCCTTCGTGCTTTATAAGGCACGTTAAGCCGTTGGTCCCGGATGCATCTGCAGTCGTTAGCACCTACCAATCCGCACTGGGCCCGCGTGGTGTGTCATGGCCCAATCTCCCTATTCCATCCATAAGAAAGGTCTGTGCTCCAGCAGGCTAGGCTGGTGATGTGATGTGGATTGGGGTATAGGATTTTTTTATCCCGGAAAAAATTTGGGTCCTTAATGGATTTCCAAAAACCAAACTGTATTACATATTGGTCCACGGCTAGATTAATTGTAACTTTTGGGTGTAACATGAATTTAACTTACATAGTTGTTAAATTGTTGTTTTCATTGGAAATTAGATATTTTCACCACTATAACAAAGGCGTTGAATAAATCAAATCCCTTTTATTAATACTAAAGAATATCTTTTGGTGCATTAGAATAAGTATAAGGTATTTTAACTTTAAATTTTTCAACACCATCGTAATGAAAACAATCGTAAATATTTAATAATGAAATCAACCCGAGATAATCTTATGACACTGAAAACATAAAATAAAGAGATATTAAGAGGAATATCGTTTATGGTTCATTAGAAATAAAGTACCATAGATTGTTCATACTTCCAGTTCTGTCTTCCGGTCACAGCGTAAAAGACCGAAAGAAAATCGATTTATTTAAACAACGGAACACTAATAATGCCGTCTCTCTTTTCTCCCCAGTCGTTCCACGCCGAGGTCCATCAATACAAGCACCAGATCGAGCTGTTCGGTCAGCTGACCCAACGTCTGATCGCCGTGTATCGCAACGATGACACCACCCGCATCAAACGCGCCACAGAGGCCATTAACCATAGATACAATGAGCTGAATAACAGGTGATTCTACTCAAACTAAATATTTAGGATTTTCCATACAAGGGACCCACCTAGGGTTACCATATCCCAGAATTTGTCCTGAGATTTCTGGACTCCTCTGAGGATGACGGCTGGATTTTGCAAATCTCATAAAATCTCAGGATTTTTTGAATTTACATTTCCAATAAAATACAGCTTACGTTTTAAAAATCTTTTTAATAAAAAGTTAAACATACTAAAAATAATCTTCTATTGGTAGTAATTGCACAATTAAAATCAGTACTTTATTATCCAAGTCGGTACTCAATCAGTTTTATCATACTTAATATGTGAAGATACATTTTTAAGTAAGGTTTTTTTCTTTACTTATGGATTCATATAATGCCCCACATGTTAAGCTCTCCAAATTATATTGATTTAAAAGTATAAACAGAGTATAAACAATAATATTACGACTTTTTTAAATTGTTAGGTACGTTTGAGGGAAAATTCTCAGTGTTAAGAAATCTCAGGATTTTTCAATGGAAATCAAGCCTTTTCTCCGGACTTTTGATTTTATCATCTGGTAACCCTAGACCCACCTACGCTCAGTAGATGATTATCTCAGTTCTCCGAAGCGAGATTGCCGTTTAAAAAAATAGCGATCCTTTGAGTGAAATAATCGAAATTTATTTGTATTCTGATTTATTTGTACGGGTTACAACATCGGCTTGTTAGAGAATCGTTTTGTTATGAAAATAATAACAGCGCCATCTAGTTGATGAGGCTAACAATACCTTTGCACCAATACAAAAAAATAGCACCGCGGTCCAAGGGTGGTTTAGTTCCGACAGTAGTGCCCTCTAGTAACATTATGAGAAAACAGCTTACATGTTTTTAAATGCATGAAAGTGGAATTCATTTTACAGATAAAATATGAAACTAATTGAAGTATTTCATTGCAGTATCATAGCCCGGGGCAAGGCGTTAAATTCAGCGGTATCATCGCTGCAGAATTTCGATCGTTCACTGGAGAAATTCGTCGCATGGCTGAGTGAAGCGGAGTCATTGCTGGACGCAGCTGATCGTGACCCTCATCTGCTCAAGGTAGGAATTAGACAAGCATAACCTTAGAAAGTTATTTTAGAAGTAGTATCTACTATCCGAACTTGTTTAAAACATATCAGAACTTGTATAAAACAAAATAATGAAAATCACCAAGAAGCCATCTCATTGCTCTTTCACACGCATAACTTCGGGTCATCCCTTATAGAGGGCGTTGTAAATAAAAATTCAACAGCAACATCTGACTCTGTGACTTTTCAACCCTACAACAGATGGCGCTTTTCTCTAAGCTTAGTGCATAAAATATTGTTTCCATCTGCTTTGTAGAGCAAAGATAGGTGGCGCCACTAAATCGTTTGAATGTTGACATAGATGGCACTATGTGTTTAAAACAATACCAACCTTGCTTTTTTATCTTTGTTCGTCTTTTGAATCTGCTAGTCAGATGGCGCTACAATGTATAAATAAGCGTAGTTCTGTCATTTTGTTATGCAGCGACATCTAAGGAGTTCCTATAAAACCAAAATCAGAACGATTTCGTTTGTTTTGCAACTGTGTGGATAGATAGAGGCTGCATGAATATTTATTTTATTTTATCCAACATTTAGATAGATAAATAACTAACTCCTACGGCCTTTTCGAAATCCTGACTGAAATGAAGGTAGAACTTTATTTGCTTCAACATAATGCAGTTGTTGCACTTAATCAGCTCTTTCTAGAATTTTAGACAAAATGGTAAAACAATACTTGAGGGCCGCAGATCCTTCAGCTCACTAGGATGGTCAGTTTTAGGTATAAGAGTAATTATTGCTTTCTACCATTGATTAGGAACCTCTCCTGTATTTATACATCTCTTATCTATTAGACAAGTCCGTCCGTTCGTCCGTCTGTGGTGCTGTTTCAGCGGCCAAACCGTAAGAGATAGATTAAGAGAATGTTTAAGTTATAAGTTAAGAATAGTCTGATAAGACTACAAACCGGATTTGAGTAACGTAGCACTTCCGGTTTTCGAGAAATCACGAATTTCAAACGAAACCACACAAAATCTCCGAAGTTCTCAATTAATTAAATACATTTTTTTTTAAAAATCAGGTTTATGAACATTTAGTTCACTGGTTTGCTAGTATATTTATAATGGCAGTGACAATGGGTAGTGTCTCTGGAAGAGTTAGTAGTATTATATCCCTGCTGATACCATCCACTCCAAATGCATTGGTTTTTATAGACATAATATATTTAGACACATCAGACTCAACTACAGGTCGCAATTGAAATAAGGACACCGAGGAACCAAATCTATTATTCTGGAAGATAGATAATTGTTTTTAAGAGATAGTGCTTGTTATACCTTCGGGTAGTTAAAAAAAGGGCATTTATTACATTAGGACCATTGAAATAGTCAGGAAGGCGTTTATTCTCTCCGGGGTCAATTAGTATTTGTTTCTTTAAGTTATGCCAGAAGGACTTACTACTTACTGGTAACAGATGAATTTACGTAATGGTTAAAATAAACTTATTTTTTGCTAAGGATGCTAGGCTTTTCTGATCCTTATAGTATTGTTTATGTGCGTCTGATTTAGAGCGTTTATAACTGTCGTGGGCAATGTTACGGATATCAATCATGTACCTAGTCGTGTCCGGTATCCATGGAGGATTGGTGACATTTCATTGGTTTCTAGTTGAAGGAGCATGCTTATCATACAAAGATAAGACTAGACAGTTGAACCTTTCAACCATAACAATGGCATCAGTCAAATTCAACACAGAATCCCAGTCTAGAGTTTGCAAGATAGATTTATACCCTTTGGATGCGGGCAGCGCAGGACCGATCGTTGTGGAGATCCTTGGGGGAGGCCTATGTCCAGCAGTGGGCGTCATACGGCTGATATGATGATACCCTTTATGGGTCTTTAGTAAAATTGTTTTGCAGAAGGCTTTAATTTCTTAAGTGCCAGGCTAACATTAATCATAGCGTGGCCGTTCTTTCTGGTAATGTTTGTAACCTCCAAGTCTCGAACCTTACAATGAGTACAAACGACGTCTATTAAAGTGTTAGAAGTTGTAGTTGAATGGGCAGGTATTTGAACCACCTGTTGCAAATCCAAATAGGAAAGAAACTGGCTAAACTTTTTCATGTGCCGCTACCCGGGATGCCCAGGATGCCAGCCGAGATCCACACCGGGTGATTTTTTGTACATTTAGTTTCCATTTCATCTTGTTTATAGTCATTCATTTAATAATAGCTGTATTTACCTAAATATTTTAATCAATCGCACATTTTCGCACATAGTACAACATCTAATAAATCTAATAAATTATTCAAACTTATATGAAAATAAAAGCTTCCATATCTCCAGAAGCTACTTAGGTATGTATTATGCTAATTCTTCAAATCATCCCATACGATAATGAAAGTAATCACAATCGTCATGTAAAGATTAATTTAATGGAACTTCTAGTTCATTATTATGTGTGAATTAATCATGACTTTTGAACAAAGTTGGATATTAGTTTTGAACGGAACACCTCCCTCGTTCCACGTGTGGATTCATGAAGTTTTAAATTGGCCGTCGCAGTTGAGGGTCCTCCCGTTTGCGGCACTAATGGTGCGGAAATGTCGTCTACCAACTTTGAATTGGATTTTAAGCATGAGATATGTAGGTTACTACCTATATTCCCGTGTGGAGGTGTGCTGGACTGTCATCGGACGCGTCTCCCAGTTGGCGGATGGGGGTACCGGCATCGGCCGGTGTGGATCAATATCACCTAAAATCTCGTAACCACATACGTAGTGCGGGGCCGAGGGCCGCAATTCTGACGGAGACGAATATGCTGTTGGAAATCAAATACCTTGAGTAAAGACGGAGGAAGCTAACAGCCTTAGGGAAGAAGTGAGGCAGATGCGGAAGGAGATGGAGTCCCTGCGAGAAACTGTGAAGGGTGTGGACAAGGCAAATCGTCCCTCGGCGCAACACCTGCCATCAGAGGCCGTCGAGGAGCTGAAACGCCCAATTATGATTTCCATAGGGGAGATGATCAGCACTCGGCTGGCTAAGCTGGAGGAGAGGTTGCCGCCACCAGCGAGGGTAAGGCCACCAGAGGCGATCGCGAGGAGAGGGAGCTGGAAATGACGCGGAGTATTGTCGTCCAGTGAGGCAAGAAGGTTCTAACACAAATATCTGGGGATACTAGGGCAGCTGAGGCACCTAGGACATAGGAGGCACCAGTGGGAAACTCAGCAAAGCCTGGAAAGAAGAAGCCTGCGAAGGCAAAAGAGAAGGGAGCCAAATCCAAGAAGCGGAGGGGCCCCAAGTTGAGGACGTCGGCCACCGCAGATCGCTCCTCCGGGAACTAGCGGATTGACTAGAAATCACCAGTTTCTGTGATGGGTTGTGCCCCTGATGCTCCGGGGAACTGCACATCGGGGTGGGTCCGGCAACGGACAAAACACGATCCCACTACAACCCCCGCTCACCCGTCGTGCATTGGGGGGACTTCGATCCTCGCAGTGCATTCCGAGAGTAACATTGGACTTAGATGAGAGCCCTGTAGAACACCAGTTTTTTTTTTATAGATAGGTCCGACAAATGACTCCACTATATAATTATAATCAAATCTCACACTTATTGTTCCAATTAAACTGAATTAAAATCCATACCCGATCGCAGCTGCGCTTTATAGCTAAACAGACAGAAAAAGATCCTCGCAGTGCATTTCGGATGATAGGTGCAGGAGTATTGTCTGGTTTTTGCCGGGTAAGGCCCTGCCGTATCATCGAGCCTTGGGGGCTTGATGAAAGGACAGGGAGGAGCCTACGGAGCCTGTGCATGCACGTTTCCGGTGCGTAACGGTTATGTCATTTTATATTAAGTAACTTTATTTCAAATTTCACTTCATTAAATTCCACGCTACAGTAGTTTGAGTAAAATTGCGGGTAATTTTACTCAATCTACAAGTTGGTTAATGCGATTAGTTTGAGTTCGTGGAAATTAAGTAACATGTATCAGAGAGGTGTTCAGAAAACTACTGTATTAAATAACTACAATAAAACAGCTTTTTGTAGCTAAATAGATCAGCGATGAAAAGTAAGAGTAACATTGGACTTAGATGAGAGCCCTGTAGAACACCAGTTTTTTTATAGATAGGTCCGACAAATCACTCCACTATATAATTATAATCAAATCTAACACTTACTGTTCCAATTAAACTGATTTAAAATCCATACCCGATCGCAGCTGCGACTAATAGCTAAACAGACAGAAATAGATCTTACTTGCATTAAACAGACAAATACAGCCGAATGTTGTAGCAGTACAAGTTTTCCGTAATAGTTGCATAAAAGTCTTGCATTATGCGGCGCATTTAGGAGTCTGTGAACTTTTAAGTTGCCGTCTTTGTCCGGAATACCCACTGCTAGAAATTAACGGTTTAGATATTAATGTGGTTTTAAGTTAACTCCGTCATACTACTTGTGGGTAATGCTCGTGTAGTGTGGGCTTAGAACTTATTTAAACAAAATTGGCATTTATTATTCTGTCACCTTTTAGATGACTAGATTAGATAGCGATTTTTAGGTAAAAGAAACAGTTTGTAGCAGATGATAAAAAGGGCTTCTATGGGGCAAGGAAACAGCAAATTTATTTGCTGTCCTTGCGGTGCGTCACGTAGAGACAAGATCAGTAACATCTTCGTCTTGTTATCACGAAGTCATAGGTCTGATGAAACATTGGGAGTATTGTAGAGAAAAGTCAAATAAAAGTGCTTCCCAGCCGTTTAAAGATCGATTTTATTCATGTGTGTCATTTTTTTGGGAAGTAAGTGGCTCCTTATACACAGGGTAATCCCATATTTTTAGGAGTCAAGCGTCCCTTTTGATTTGCATTCTGGTATTTATCCAATAAAGATTTATTATTATTATTAAGTGATTGGTGTTTGGAAAATCTGAGACACAAGTTGACTGTAAGCTTAAATTGTGTTATAAACTTTTTGCCTCTTACTGATTCTAAGTGCTTGTAACTAATATTACTTAATTTTCGTTTTTACAGGTAAGTTCCTCGCCGTGTGTGGGTAAGCGTTAGTTGAAGTTACGTTATTTAGAATTGTATATTGAATTAAATTATTTTTTACGGTCACGCCATGATAAAGACTCGCATATTGACTAGATTCTGAATAGTAATGGATTTTGTCAACATCTACGAGTATATTACTGTGGGTTATTGTTGAGTATTTATTACAAAGCCTTCGTCAGCTGTCCGTTGGCCTGTCAGTGGACTCAATGTCACGGTTGAGAAATATTCCAAAACGCGTGTTTTTAATAACAATTCTGGTCCTAGATTTTTGTATTTCATATTATAAAATCTTGCTTTGTAGTATGGAACCCTTCTTGCGTGTCTAACTCGCGATTGGCCGGGATTTTTCTCCTGTTTACTAGAGCGATTAAATTTGAATCTTCCAAGTGAACGAACTAACAGAAAAGGTTACTTGCTCGTTCTAAGCGGCTTTTCATAACAGATTAGCCGCGTCATGACATTTCTGCGGATTTTTCTTATTACATTAACAGCTTTTTTAAAGGGTTTTTGATAACGTTTTTATGACAGATTTCTTTTTTGTGTTGCGCAGCGTGAAAAAGTACATTTATGACTATCTGATAGTCGATAAATAGTTGGGGCGTATTTTGTGTTTGATGTTTCGTCAAAAAATGCGGTAGGGACATTACTGTACTACATTGAGGTATCGTCCAATAGATGGCGTTGACTTAAAATAATTTGTAAGCAATGAACAATGCTGTTTTTTTGGGGGAAAACCGACAGAATGTCCTCCTTCGTTTCGCCTCCGTCTCGACTATAGTTTTTGATGATTTACCAATAGCGCTAATGTTAATAAATAAAACATATCGTTTGTTATTAAAGCTAAACTAGTTTTTTTTTAAATCAGATTTTGGTGAACATTTGGTTCACTGGTTTAGTGAACCAAATGTTCACCAAAATCTGATTTAAAAAAAATGTATTTAATTGATTGAGAACTTCGGAGATTTTGTGTGGTTTCGTTTGAAATTCGTGATTTCTCGAAAACCGGAAGTGCTACGTTACTCAAATCCGGTTTGTAGTCTTATCAGACTATTCTTAACTTATAACTTAAATATTCTCTTTATCTATCTCTTACGGTTTGGCCGCTGAAACAACACCACAGACGGACGGACTTGTCTAATAGATAAGAGATGCTTTAATTTCAAGTCTATCACAGGAGCGCTTAAGTTTTTCTTTGGTCATCTGTGTCCAACCGATAGTTGAGGTAGTAAATTTAACTCTACGCGTAAAACTAGTGGTTTTGCTAATGAGTAGCGGGAGGGTAAGAGCGGTTGCCATGACAACGGCCAGAACAAAAGCACCCATAAAAGAGGCGTTTTACAACTAACGACTTTTTAATGTTGCTTTTTAGCTGTAAATAGTATATGGTTAATTGCAAATGGACTGTGGTGCATCGAGAATTACGGTGAAATTAATACAGGCATTGTTTACACGAGGAGATCGATGACGCGGGTGGTTAGCGCGTTCGGCTGCGATCGTTGAAATTAAGCAACTATCGCAGTGGTCGGTCATTGGATGGGTGACCAAAAATCTTCTATCTGGAGTTTCTCCTTGCCTCGGAAGGCACGTTAAGCCATTGTTCCCGGTTGCATCTGCAGTCGTTAGCAGCCGCCAATCCGCAATGGGCCCACGTGGTGGGTCATGGCCCAATCTTTTTATTCCATCCATAGGGAAGGCCTGTGCCCCAGCAGTGGGGACATTAATAGGCTAATGATGATGATTGTTTACACTTGTTTTAGCTTACGACTTTTGTTAAATTCAGCGTCTTACATTTTAACTTTAACTTACATAGTTTTAAAACTTTCTTTCTTTGTAGTCACTTTTAAACACATGCAATAAGTAGATCCACCTCTATTTTAATTAACGATACAGGGTAAAAGTAGCCGAATTTTTGTCGGTTCCTCACAATAGGTCTTTCGGCTTGCCTATTTGCTAACCCTAAGCTTATTTTTCGACCTAGATTAGTGCATTGTATAAATAAATTATTAATATTTAACAGCCTGAACTAAATAAACTGACTGAATTCGAATTTAATAGGTATTATTATAAAATATCTTTAAGGCGCATTAACTCAAATTAGCTAATAGGTCGATTAATCAGCGTCAAGATCATTTGGAGATCATGTGTGATTAAACTAACACACAGAATACTTTGCCAGCCTCTGAATCTATACTCATCGCTAGAGATGATAAGTGACTACGTTTAAAAGTTATCGATAAACTTCCGAGAATATCCGAGGTAATGTTACAACTAGCAAACCAGTGAACCAAATGTTCACCAAAACCTGATTTAAAAAAAAAACACAAAAATGTATTTAATTAATTGAGAACTTCGGAGATTTTGTGTGGTTTCGTTTGAAATTCGTGATTTCTCGAAAACCGGAAGTGCTACGTTACTCAAATCCGGTTTGTAGTCTTATCAGACTATTCTTAACTTATAACTTAAATATTCTCTTTAGCTATCTCTTACGGTTTGGCCGCTGAAACAGCACCACAGACAGACGGACGGACGAACTTGTCTAATAGATAAGAGATGATAAAGTACTATTGAAATGAAATGAAATTCTTTATTGGCATCATAAACATGGAATTTGACAAAAATAAAATAAAAGTTAATCTATAGACGGCCAACCAGGACCCTGCCTCAGCATAAGCTGACATAGTGAGAAAAGAAAAAAGTTCTCTCACCATGTCGGCGTTGGTATTCTGGCAGGGCCTGTGCAAGGTCGCTTTAATGGTTCGTAACACATTCAAAAATCAAGTAAACACTAAAAACGACTGTTGCGTATTGACATGAACAAAAAGACCTTGCATTCTACAGAGAGAAGTTGTTTTTCATCAATTGACTATAAGACACGGGATTTTGTTAAACAAAAAAAAAATAGTGTACTACTAATATTATAGCTTTGAAAGTTTGTATATTTGTGTGTTTATATGTTTGTTACTTAATCACAAAAACCACTGACTGGATTTGGAAGTTATTAAGTACGCATATAGTTTATAATAACCTGGATTGGCACGTAAGATACTTTTTATCTCGGAAAATTGTCAAGTTCCTCTTGTATCCCGAAAAACTAAAGTTGACCCGGACGAGGTCGCACGTGGACGCTAGTATATTAAAAAATTAGAATTTTTATTTTTAGACTATCGAACCCACTTACAAATATAATCGACATGTGTAATTTTTATCGTTTTCCCAACACTACACCACCTCCATACAATCAATCTAACTCAAGAACGGGCGTAGACATCTAATTACTTTTCCTCACAAAAGCGTGGAGCATTCACTCTGCAGCTATTGGAGGAATTCCGTTTATATAAGATAAGGGTTATGTGAACGGAAATTATTGTCGGACACTATTGATTCCGACGGATGTTTTCGGATACCATTCACGGATGGTTACTTCCCTATCACTCGGGTATTCAAAAGTAATGAGAAGAGAAGGCTCGCAGGATTCTTTGAACAATTCGATCATTACTTTAGAGAAGTGTTCTTAAGAACAATATTAAATAACATTAGTTCTCAACTGTACTGAAGTCAGCATTTATTTATACAAAACGCAGCGAATTCTCCACCACAGCCGGTTGTTATGTGTAAGTGTGGTCGAGTTATGGCAGATAAGTTTGGCGCTTCAGACATTCTTACCTTGCTGGCCTCAACCCAATCTCCTAACCTTACAGCCTGTGCAAGGTCACATTAAAGGGTGTAAAAACATTTAAAAACACGCTTTTATTTATTTTTAAGCATTTAACTGCTAGATGTTTAAATCTAAAGAAAAGTTAGTTTACTTTTTCAAGTATTCATTTGACATTGTGGGTTACCTACAATGCGAAGAGATGGCGCTGCCTTGCAGCTTAAGGCTAGGAAAATTTCGACGCGGCGAATAGGGCCGTGGTAGCATAATGGTCAGTGCATTCGCCCGGATTGCGAAGGGTGCGGGTTCGAGTCCCGTCCGCTGCCTGGTCCGCGTGGATTTTTTTCTAGTAAACTTTTGTTTAGATTTAAAAACATGTTAACCTGAAAAACAAATCAGTTAAATACCCACATCACTATAGCGTATGTATATAATTATATTAATGTGATAATGTAAATAAACTATGAGCCGAACGTAAATTGACCTGGTATGAGGCATAGTCTACTCACTATTCCGGAAAAAGGTAGGGTTCCCGTGGGATTTCAAAAAAAAAACGAGTTAACGTGAAGTAGCGGGCGGCCGTTAGAACCTAAATAAAGCCTGTTTCCTAAAGTTGTATGTAGGAAACAATGTTCAGTGCATCAGTACAACACTACTCCAGTTACAATACCATAAACTAACAATAGTTTCTGAAACTGCCGTCATCTTTTTTTATACACTCTTCCTATCTGAGCTATAAAATATGCAGCTGTCGCTTCCTAGCTTATTTCACTGTCTACATTGAAGTTTACGGTCGCTTATAAGTTTTATACAAGCAGTATACGTTATTAAATGCACTGAATTCAAGTCGTAAAATTATTGTAAGGGGTTAATCTACAGTGTAGACTTTTGTTCGTGCCAAAAATCAAACGTGCGGCAGATGTTACGGTACTGAAATTGAAATGGCAAACATGAGATTTCATATTTTTTTACGAGGAAAATGAAGAGTTAGTTTTGAGAAAACACTGCGGTATTGGTCTAATAAAAAGCAATGAAAGTTAGTATTAGGGCCACTGTAATAACACATTGTTTTAAGATATTCATCAAATAATATTGATTGTATTACTGTTTGTTTCTTAGGTTTTCACCCACATCATTATCATTTACGTTAGTAAGGGTCAAATAAATAAACTCGAAATTACAAAAAAGAATTTTAAATAAAGTACTTTATTAACTAAATTAACTAATAAATTCATATATCTATATATATAAAACTCAAAGGGGACTGACTGACATAGTGATCTATCAACGCACAGCCCAAACCGCTGGACGGATCGGGCTGAAATTTGGCATGCAGGTAGATGTTATGACGTAGGCA